TTGGAGGAAAAAACCCAAAGTTGGTAATCATTGGTAAATTTAAATATAGATATAAATTTATAAGACCATAAGACGGAGGACCAGATTCAGTCCTTCACCTTTCTCTGCTGATCTGATAATCCTCAACTCCACTGTCCTCAGAGAAGAAATTCCTCCTCATCTCTGTCTTAAATGTGCCACCTCCTGTTCTGAGATTAGGTGCTCTGGTCCTAGCCGGTCCCAAAAACTCTCTTGTCAAGCTCTGTGAGACTATTCAATAAAATGTGGAGCCGGAGGAACACAGCAGGTCAGGCAGCATTAGAGAAGTAGGAAAGTCAATGTTTTGGGTCAGGACCCTTCTTCAGGACTGGGGAGGGGGAAGGGAGCTCTGCAATAAGTAGAGAGAGGAGAGGTGGGGCTGGGGGAAGGTAGGTGGGGCGGTGATAGTTGGATGCAGGTGGGGAGTGGTGGGGATTGGTCAGTGGGAAGGGTGGAGCGGATAGGTGAGAAGGAAGGTGAACAGGTTGTATCAGGTCAAGGAGGCGGGGATGAGAGGGAGGCCTGGACATGTGATGAAGCCGGGAGTGGAGAGATTTTGAAGCTGGTGAGCTCTATGTTGAGGTCATTGGGCTGTAAGCTCCCACGGTACAATATAAGGTGTTGTTTCTCCAGTTTACATGTGGCCTCATTGTGACAGCGGAGGAGGCCCAGGATGGACATGTCACCCAGGGAGTGGGAGGGGGAGTGGAAGGGGGAGGGGGAGTGGGAGTGGGAGTGGGAGGGGGAGTGGGATTGGGAGGGGGAGGGGGAGTTGAAGTGGCTGGCATTTGGTGTTGATTGGAGTATACCGAGTGCAGATGCTCTGCAAATCAACTCTGACTTCCAGCATCTACAGTCCTTACTATCTCCTAGTTGCTGAAAACCATACTGCAAAGTCTCTTCCAAGGATGTCTGCCTTGAAGAAGTTGTCTCCGTCCCTCTGAAGACATCACAGTGAGTCCCTCTCCCACTGCAACCCCCTGGTTATTTCCTCGCCCTGTAGCTCTTCGCTCTATACCTCTCCGACCTGTATCCACATATTACCATCCTACCTACTTTCCCTCAGCCCCAACCCCCCAATTTATTTCTGAGCTCCCTTCCCCCTCCCCCTTTGTCTTCCAGCATCTGCAGTCCTTACTATCTCCTAGTCCCTGAGACTCTTGTATGTTTCAGTAAAATTGCCTCTCTTTCTCCTATGTTCCATGAATACAGGTTCAATCTACTCAGCCTCTCCTCATAAGACAGTCCCTCCATCCCTGGTGTCAATCTAGATAACCCTCACTGGACTGCTTCCAATGCCAGGATATCTTTTTTTAGATAAGTGACCAAAACTGTTCACAGTACTCCACCTTAATAATTGGGAAAAGACTGAGAGTAGGGATATGGGGCAATGGGGAAGGTTTTCTCACTGAGAGAGTTGTCAGGAATCTGGAAAGCTGTCCTTGAAAATATTGTTGGGAACTTGATTCATGAATCATTTTGAAATGGTCATTGGACTGGTAACTGAGTTACAGACAAAACACAGGGTCATGGGACTGTCCACGGCTGCAAACCAAAGGGCTAACACAGGCACAAATGGCCTCCGTTGGGCGTGTGGTGTCCATTATTCTATAATTCCACTTGCTTTCTTTTCCAGATGCAACGACATATCCGAGCACTTTGCAGGAAGCCACAGTCCGCCTCATTCCCCAAGTATTGTGCAGCAGCGATTTTCTCTATGGTAGTGAAGTGACACCGAATATGATCTGCGCGGGAGATTTGATACAAGCTATCGATGCCTGTCAGGTACCTGCACCATCTCATATCCAAGACATCTTGCAGCACACTAAAGATCCCCATCAAGTTTCAACCGTTACCACAGCAACCACAATTCCAAAAATCACTTCATTGCCTGCAGCACTCTTCAGCACAAAGGTTCATCAGGAAAGGCAGTCATAGAGTCATAGGGGTGTACTGCATGGAAACAGATCCTTTGGTCCAATTCATCCATACTTACCGGATATCTTAAATAAATCGAGTCCCATTTGCCAGCATTTGGCCCATATCCCTCTAAACCCTTCCCATTCATATACCCATCCAGATGCCTTTTAAATGTTGTCATTGTACCAGCCTCCACTACTTCCTCTGGCAGCTCGTTCCATACACACACCACCCTCTGTGTGAAAAACATGGCCTTCAGTTGCCTTTTATATCTTTCCTCTCTCACCTTAAACCTATGCTCTCTAGTTTTGGACTCCCCTACCCTGGGGAAAAGACCTTCGCTATTCACCTTATCCATGCCCTTCATGATTTTATAAACTTCTAGTAGGTCATTATGAAGTAGATCATAGGGTTAAGCATGGCGACAGTAACATAGTGATAATTTCATTGGAAAAGACCAGACTAATGCTTTGGTGCCATGGGTTCAAGTACCACCATGGCAGCTGATGGGTTTACATTCAATGAGTAAATCTGGAATTTGTATAAAAGCTTGTCTCAGTAATGGCAGCCATGAAGCTAACATTCCAACTGGTTCACTAGCGTCCTTTGGGGAAGGAAATCTGCCATCTTTTTTCCTGGTCTGGCCTACATATGTGAGCCCAGAACCACAGCAAGATGATTTATTCATAACCGGTCTCTGAAATGGCCCGGCAATCCACTTGGTTCAAGGGCAATTTGGGATGGGCAAGACATGTTGGCCTGGCCAGCAGTGCCAGCATCCCAGAAGAGAATTTTTACAAAAAGGGCATCAGCCTTGGCTCATAGCTATCTCTCAGCACCTAATGATGCCAGGCCCTGCTGTGGAGATTTGAATTGACACAATGCAGCACTATCATACAGTGACATTACTTTGAGAGAAGTTGCAAATGATGTTTATGTGTCATGGGGGCACCATGTGACTGGCAGCCAGGATGTGCAGCCGTAATTGCAGCTGCTTCCGTGAATAAAGGTGGACAGTTTATTTTGCAAGATGGGTCCTGAACCGAAACGTCAGCTTTCCTGCTCCTCTGATGCTGCCTGGCCTGCTGTGTTCATCCAGCTCCACACTGTGTTATCAGTGAATCCAATTCTTTTATTCATTCATGGGATGAGGGTGTCTCTGACTGGGCCAGCAATTATAGAATCATAGAGTCATAGAGCATGGAAACAGATCCTTTGGCCCAACCAGTTCATGCCGACCATAATCTCAAACTTAACTAGCCCCACCTGCCTGCCCTTCACCCATATCCCTCCTAACATTTCTTATTCATGTACTTATCCAAATGTCTTTTAAATATTGTAACTGTACCCACATCCACCACTTCCTCTGGAAGTTGATTCCACACATGAACCACTCTCTTGTGTAAAAAAAAATTGCCTCTCATGTCTTTTTTAAATCTTTCTCCTCTCACCTTAAAAACATGCCCCCTAGTGTTGAAATCCCCGACCCCAGGGCAAAGGCATCTGCCATTCACTGTATCTATACTCTTCATGATTTTATAAACCTCTAAAAGGTCGCCCCTCAACCTCCTACGCTCTAGTGAAAAAGTCCCAGCCTAGCCAGCCTCCTCTTGTAACTCAAATGCTCCATTCCCGACATTCCCTTCTAAATCTTTTCTGAATCCTCTCCATTTATTGCCTATCCCGAAATGAGCTGCAGTTAGACTCCAGACTAAGTCCTTCTGTTGAGCTGTTTAATATTGTGTATAGGTGCTAGTTAAAATCTTCAAATAAGTTGAACCTGCATGTGTTTTAACAATGCTGCGTGTGTGAGACTGGTGAGTTTATGAAACGAAGTCAGCAACACTGCAAAAGGCACTGCCATTAACATAGAAAGAAACAAGGATATTATCTTGTGGCATCATTACAGCAGAGAGTGTGGCCATTGTGTCTACAATCTCTTTAAGCAACTGTTCATGAAAGGTACAACACAACCCCTGGGCAGGTGGGACTTCTGGTCTAGAAGAAAGGACACTAACCATTGTGTCACTAGAAATAGAAAGTTCAAAGATAGTTCAAAGACGAACAGGAGAAAGTTAAAAAGAAAAAAAGACGTTGTGACCCAGTGAGTAGTTCGGGTACAGAGTGTACTGTGGAAATATGGTGGAGTAAGATTCAGGTGCGGCATTGAAGAAGGCATTGGATGGATATTTGAATATAATGTTCAGGGATACAGGGAAAGGCGGGATACTGGCTGTTGGAGATAGAACCTGCAGTCATGATGGGATGAATGGCCTCTTTCTGTACTGTAACAGATTCTGAGTAGGGTGGCTTTGCCAAGATGCCATTAACCCTTCAGCCAGCAAATTACGTTTTTGTTTGTGGGAGCTTGCTGTGCACAAATTGGCTGTAAATAAGCATTTTGTTGAGCCCTGCAAAAGATGGTATACAAAAGCAAGTGCTTTCTCACTTCTGAATGGCTGCACTTGAAGACTATACGGCACAGAAGCAGAAGTAGGCCATTCAGCCCATCTGATCTGCCCTGCCATTGAATGAGATCATTGTTGGCCGCAATGTTACATTGTCTTAAGCCTTTACAAATGCCTATTAATCCTTTGTCTCTTGCATGATCTACACAGGGAGATTCTGGAGGCCCACTGGTTTGCTACAAAGGGGACACTGGATATTTGTATGGGCTCGTCAGCTGGGGGGAAGGTTGCGCTAAGCTGGACAAGCCCGGAGTCTATACAAGGGTTACCAAATATGTCAATTGGATCTACAGGAAAATCAAACATAGACCAAAATACGACCGGAAAGGCTAAACTTGCAGGAAGAGGCAGTTCTTAATTCAGAAGAATGATGAATTCAATCACTTTCTTCCTTCCGGTCGTGTGGCAACAACGAATCTGGGAAAACCATCTCTTGTTTTGATTTAATTATTTGAATCAGAAAAAAAAGTGAACGTTTGTGAGCTAATTTTTGATCTAGTTATGGGTTGCCAACCCTCCAGGATTGGCCTGGAGTCTTCAGGAATTAAAAAAAAATTCCGGGGCCATTAAAAAATAAATTGTGTGTTTTGTTTATTCCTTCTCCTATTTTCTTTGACAGCATTGAAGGGCTGGCAAATATGAGGGAGAAATTACATCTGTCAAAGGGTCATAAATCTGAGGGATTCACTACTCCAGAGTGTGGTGGATTGGTGGGACATTGAGTAAATTTAAGGAGAAGATAGGCAGGCTTTTATTCAGATGGGCTGAAGAGTTATGGGGAGTGAGCAGGAAAGTGAAATTGAGGCTGGGGTGAGATCAGCCATGATTGTATTGAATGGCGAAGCAGGCTTGAGGGGCTGAATGGCCAACTCCTGCTCCTAGTTCTTACGTTGCTTTACTCATCATGAAAATGTCATGGTGTTGATGAAATGCTTGACTGGGCTGTGATTGATGGGAAAGGGAAGGTCATGTGATTAGACAATATCTCACTAGAGTTCAGCAAGCCTGAGACGGGAATGCTCGATGTGGCTTTAGCGGTGACAGGGAGGTGTGGGTGGGTGTCATATTGATGAGCTCACTCATGAGTGGTCCTTTCAGAAATCCGGAGTGGTCCCAGGGCCCTTGTCAGTGCAGATTTGCAAGTGCAGAAAGGAATCATAGATTAGAACAGCCTCTTGAACAGCTTCTTGATCCTGGACTAAATCATGTTAGGAGTAATCTCACTCCCTGCAGTTCCTTTGTGTTGCTAAGGATACCGGGTAGGCCACTTAGCCCTGAGATGAGGAGAAATTCCTTCACCTAGAGAGTGATGAACCTGTAGAATTCTTTGCCACAGAAAGCAGTTGAGACCAAAACATTGAAGGAGTTAGATATTGTTCTTAGGGCTAAGGGACCAAAAGGTATGGGGACAAAGTGGGAACAGGGGACTGAGTTGGATGACCAACCATACATGGTGGTACAGACTGAAAGGGCTGAATGGCCTACTCCTGCTCCAGCTTTCTATGTTTCTATGTCTCAGCAAATTTACTTTCAGATTTTGATCCACTTCCTTTCCAAAGTCTATTATTGAACCCATTTCCACCAGCCTATCAGACACTGCTTCCTAGATTCTAACCACCCATTGCACTGAAAGGTTTTCCCTCGTGTTGTCACTGGTTCTCTCTCTTGTCACTTGAATATTTAAGCCCCCTCATCCCCAGCTTATCCTCCATTGGAATCAATCTCTATTTTACTCTGTCTACATCCTTTACTATTTTGAACATCTCTGCCAAATCTCATCTTTGCCTTCAAATAAAAGCAAAATATCGTGGAAGCTGGAGGTCTAAAATAAAACCAGAGAGTGCTGGGGAAACTCAGCTGGTCTGGCAGCATCTGTGGGGAGAGAATCAGAGGTTAATGTTCTGAGCCCAATGGAGTCATCTTCAGGTTCTCCAGCATTCTCTGTTTTGAAAGAACTGTGGATGCTGAGGAATGTTCTGACGGAGGGTCACTCGACCTGAAACGTTAACTTTGATTTCTCTTCATAGATGCTGGGGAGGTGATGGCCTCGTGGTATTATTGCTGGACTGTTAATCCAGAGACCCAGATTACATTCTGGGGACATGGGTTCAAATCCCGCCACGGCAGATGGTGGAATTTGGAATCAATTAAAAAAAACTCTGGAATTAGGAATCTAACGATGACCATGAATCCATTGTTGATTGTCAGGAAAACCCATCGGGTTCACTAATGTCCTTTAGGGAAGGAAACTGCCATCCTTACCTTGTCTGGCCTACATGTGACTCCAGACCCACAGCAATGTGGTTGACTCTTAACTGTCCTCTGGGCAATTAGGGATGGGCAATAAACGCTGCCTGGTCAGCGATGCCCTCATCCCATTAATGAACAAAGAAAAAAAAAATGCTGCCAGACCTGCTGAGCTTTTCCAGCAATTTCTGTTTTCGATCTCTGTTTTGATGTCTGATCTTAGTCTTCTCTGTTCCAAGGGGACAATCCTGGATCCTCCAGTCTTTGAATTCAATTGGAATTGTCTTCCTCATTCTTGGAGATTGCCCACCTCCATTCACTCTACCCACCATCCCTTCCTCGTTCCCATGCTCCCCCTTCACACCTTCCTGAAATGTGGTGGCCAGAATATACCGCATGTGGGTTCACATCCACATTTCATTGGGTTTGTATGATATAATGTACACCTTTATTCATGTAACCCAGCCAATGTTCTGGATGTGATTTGCTTGGTTATTAAAATGGTGGGTGAACGTTCTCCAGATTTCTCCTATTTCTTATAGTTTAAATGGGTCACAGTAGAGGTTTAGGATATCATAGAATCCCTACAGTGTGGAAACAAGCTCTTCGACCCAACAAGTCCACACCGAACCTCAGAGAATCCCACCCAGACCCATCCCCCATAACCCTATAACCCACCTAATCTACACATCCCTATGGGCAATTTAGCATGGCCAATCCACCTAACCTGCACATCTTTGGACTGTGAAAAGAAACCGGAGCACCCAGAGGAACCTGACGCAGACATGGAGAGAATGTGCAAACTCCACACAGACAGTCATCCAAGGATGGATTTGAACCCAGGTCCCTGGCGCTGTGAGGCAGCAGTGTTAACCACTGAGCCACCGTGCCGCCCCACTATGAGGCAAGGGGTGGAAGTCTGGGCTGGGATTCTAGATTCTCCTAGAGCTATGGACCCCCCCCCCCCCCCCCCCCAAGGGTTCAGACATGCTTTTCAATGGAGGTGGAAAACCACTGGACAATATTCAGAAAGATCACATGAACAAATTTGTCAGCTTTTTCTTTATTTGTTTGTGTAATGGGGGAATCACTGGCAAGTCCAGCATTTGTCCCTAGCTGCCCTTAAACTGATTGGCTCTTTGGGTCACTTCAGGGGGACAATTAAGAGTTAATCACGTTACTGTGGGTCTGGAGTCACGTGTCGGTCAGACCAGGTAAGGATGGCAGATTTGCCTTCCCTAAAGGACACGATTTAACCAGATGGTTTTATATAACAATTCATTGTAATCATCCCTGAGATCACCTTTCCATATTCCCCAGATTGTTGATCAGATGCATTTAAATTCCACGAGTTTCCTTGATGGGATTTGAATTCATGTTGCCAGAGTTTTGGCCCAGGCCTTGGAACTGTGAGTCTAGTGACCATACTGCAACATCACAGTGCTGAGATCTCTGGGTTAGATATCCTGGCAAGTGAAAACTGAAAGAACTGCGGATGCTGGAAATCAGAAACTAAAACAGAAATTGCTGGAAAAGCTCAGCAGGTCTGGCAGCATCTGTGGAGAGAAATCAAAGTTAATGTTTCAGATCCAGTGACGCTTCCTCAGAATGCTAGCAGATGGTCCAGGTTCAGTGAAATTCATTAAATTCTGGAATAAAAAGCTCCTCTAATGGTAACCGTGTAACCATTGCCAATTGTTCATTTTGGGAAGGGAACCTGCTGTCCTTATCTAGTCTGGACAACACGTGACTCCAGACCCACAGAATGGGGTTGGCTCTTAACTGCCCTCAGAAACAACCTTAACAGCCAGTCAGTTCAAGGCAATGAGTGTCAGTAAGCCTACACCCCATATAAGAATTAAAATAAACACTGTCTTCCATGTTAGTCCCCAGTGTGAAAATCCTTTGTTGGTGAGTGAAACACAAAAACAAGGGCAGTGGCCTTTAACATCCTGCAAAAACTGAAATCCAAAAGCAATCTGCACTTGTACACAAATATTAAAGGAGGAGCTGCAAGAGATTTTTTCTCGAGAGTTACCTTTTGATTTTCAGGGCCTCCTGTTTGATTCGCACTAACTCCTTCATTAGGTGCTGCTCACTCACACGGTAACATCACCATCTGTATTTGTGCTGATGCAAGAGGAATTTGGTGCCACTCAGAAGCGGAATTAGAAGAATTCATCAACTTCCTCAGTCACAGTCAGTCTATGAGAAGCCAATGCAGCAAGAGACTCCCTATGATTAGAAAGCAGTTCATCATGGATTCTACTTACTGGGGCAACGTTTCTCTGATCAGGTCATTCCCCCATGATTGAAACTTTAACGGATATTTTGGAGACTCTTGTTCATCCCGTGGTATCAATGAAATAAAAAGTACAGCATTACAGATCGTAAAAATGAAAAGTTCAGAACAGCGGACCTTCAAGCCCAATCTGCAGTGGCACCTAGCCTCCAGTCCATACTGGCACCAAGCCTCCAGTCTGCACTGGCATCAAGCCTCCAGTCTGCACTGGTACATAGCCTCCAGTCTGCACTGGTACCTAGCCTCCAGTCCGCACTGGCACCAAGCCTCCAGTCCGCACTGGCACCTAGCCTCCATTCTGCACTGGCACCTAGCCCCCAGTCTGCACTGGCACCAAGCCTCCAGTCCACAGTGGCACCTAGCCTCCAGTCCACAGTGGCACCTAGCCTCCAGTCCACAGTCTGCACCAAGCCTCCAGTCCATACTGGCACCTAGCCCCCAGTCTGCACTGGCACCAAGACCCCAGTCCACACTGGCACCTAGCCTCCAGTCCGTACTGGCACCCAGCCCCCAGTCTGCACCGGCACCTAGCGCCCCAGTCTGCACTGGCACCTCGCCCCCAGTCCACACTGGCACCTAGCCTCCAGCCTGCACTGGCACCTAGCCCCCAGTCCACACTGGCACCTCATGCCCCAGTCTGCACTAGCACCTAGCCCCCAGTCCACACTGGCACCTAGCCCCCAGCCTGCACTGGCACCTAGCCTCCAGCCTGCATTGGCACCTGGCCCCCAGACTGCACTGGCACCTAGCCTCCTGTCTGTACTGGGCCTTGACACCAGACTACGCCGGGCTTCACCTCAAGACCAGGAGGCACTCTGGAGTCATCTTGAGGCTGGAAGTGCATGCTGTGCCAAAAAAAAACCCATGGGCCACCGAGAGCCTGCCCTGCCGGCCTGGGAGACAGCACTCTGGGCTTGAGAGGACACCTCGCCAGGTCCACACTGAGGCCCAGAGTGCAAGCCTGTGCTGAGGCCAGGAGTTCAGTATTTTATCGAGAAGAAACACGAGAGAAAAACAAAACACAAAAGAGAACGACAAAGAAACA